AAGTATTTTATGAGGAAATATTTTGAAACTGTATAAATACTGTTTCCCATCATATTTCTGTCCAGTAATTTTACTATGCATTGAGACTCCATTGATGACTCTTTCCAGAAACAGTTATGACTGTGGTGTTTGCCAGATTGTGCTTTTTCTAGTCATTATCTTTTCCACACTTTTTGGTTGGAATTTTATTATAAGGAAAAACTTTACTTCTCCCCCATATTTACTTATTTTTTCCATTGTTTATACCAATATGGGCTCATGAGTTCTTAATTATTTCTATGTGTGAGAATTCATTGCTATCATTTATTTATTTTCTTGCTCAAATTGTCCCTGATTTGACCAGTGGGACACTGGCTTCTTCACACTGGCTTCTGTGACCTTTTGACTGTCCCTTCACTTTTTTTTTTTTTTAAGATTTTATTTATTTAGGCTTCCAGCAACAGCGACGCAAGGTGGCAGCCATCACGGGCTCGGACAATTTATGAAAACCGAATATACAGCCTTAAAATAGAATGTGGACCTAAATACCCAGAAGCACCCCCCTTTGTAAGATTTGTAACAAAAATTAATATGAATGGAGTTAATAGTTCTAATGGAGTGGTGGACCCAAGAGCCATATCAGTGCTAGCAAAATGGCAGAATTCATATAGCATCAAAGTTGTCCTGCAAGAGCTCCGGCGCCTAATGATGTCTAAAGAAAACATGAAACTCCCTCAGCCGCCTGAAGGACAGTGTTACAGCAGTTAATCAAAAAGAGAAACCACAGGCCCTCCCCCCTCCCCCGCATTCGATTTAAGCAGTCATTTTCCACAGTAGTACATTTTCTAGATACGTCTTGTAGACCTCAAAGTACTGGAAAGGAAGCTCCCATTCAAAGGCAATTTATCTTAAGATACTGTAAATGATACTAATTTTTTGTCCATTTGAAATATATAAATTGTGCTATAAAAAAAAGATTTTATTTATTTATTTGAGGGAGCAAGCATGAGAGAGAGAGAGAGAGATCATGAGCAGAGGGGAGGGGCAGAGGGAGAAGCTGAACAGGAAGCCTGATAGAGGGACTGGATCCCAAGAACCTGAGCCAAAGGTAGACGCTTAACTGACTGAGCCACCCAGGTGCCCCCTGTCCCTTCACTTTTTGATACAGCATGATGTTCCTGGCTCATCTTGTATACTCTGTGCCTCAGCCCTAGAATTAACCATTCATACGGACATTGTTTCTTTCATTAAAGAATAGATAGTATTTAGAAGTATATAGAAGCCAAAATCTGGGTGCTATGTGTGCTCACTGTTGGGGGGAGCTAGGAAATATATGTGTGTGCTCACATATCTGTAACTATTTCTGTGTCTTTTGTATTTGTGTGTGGGGGGGTGTATGTGTACACACACACATACACACACACACACACACGAGTTCATACTGATACTTCCAATTCCAATCTAACACCAAAGAGTTTATTCTAACCTCCCCCCACACCTGTAACTCCTATGAACATAGTGAGAAACTCAGCTCTCATTATGCTCAATATATTTACTTGCTCAATCCTAAAATACACACAGAACAGCTTCAGAATTGCTAACCTACGTAACCCATATACAAACCTCCTAACTAAAGTACTATATTTGTGTACAAATCTTTATATTTTGCTTTAGACTATGTAATCAAATTACTATTTTCCAAAGTGACTTTTGTCAGTTCTCCCCCTGCCTCCCTTCAGTGTGGTCGTATCATTCCTTTGTAATACAGTTAGGTTCACTTGTTTCTGTTTATATTCTATTTTGGGTCCACACCCTGCCCCCCACCAACACACTCCTTGTTAATTTTATTTACGAGTATGTGAAACATTAATATGGTTCCAAAACACAAAAAAATATACTCAGAAAAGTGCCACTCTGCTTCAGCCCTTCTCCGTCGTTGTTCCCATGCACCTGCTGAAGGTAACAAATCTCATTCATTTCTTATTTACCCTTTTTTCTTAGATGAAAGATAGCACAATGTAGCTATTTTTCTGTGCTTTGCCTTTTTCACTTTACAGTGTGTCCTGGAAATCACTTGCTATCCGCCTAAGTGATCTTGTTCATTGTTTCTTATAGCTGCAGAATACTGAGTGAATGTACCATAGTTCATGTACTCACTGTGAACTATGGTACACTGTCTTATATGAGTGCCTTTTCCCCCATAGGCTTTCCAACAAAATATGTATCATGCTTTTCAATCTTCTAGGCCAAGAATTTTGATAATGGTTCATGCAAAGATGGTAGTAGTAGAGGTGGTGAAAAGTGCTTAGACTTAAGATACGATTTTGGAAAACAATTCAGAGTTTCCAGTGGATTGCTCTGGAGGCTGATGCAGTGGTTTTCCAACTGAGGTCCTCTCCAATTCTGTTTAGATAGTAGGCATCAGTATTAACAGTCTACACTAGTTACTTCTTTTTACTTGCCTGATTTATGAAGTTTTTGGTGACTCTCACCTTCCTCTTGGGCCAGCCTTAAATTTTTTTTTAAAGATTTATTTATTATTTTAGAGAGAAAGGACACACAAGAGAGGGAGGGGCAGAGGGAGAGGGAGAGAATCTCGAGCAGACTGCTTGCTGAGCGAGGAGCCCTACGTGGGGCTCCATCTCAAGGCCCTGAGGTCATGACTTGAGCCAAAATCAAGAGTTGGCCCCACTTAACCGACTGAGCCACCCAGACGCCCCTTGGGCCAGTCTCATTATATGTCCTAGTAAATTTATGGCATTATAATAGCTAATGCTAACTGCTCAAACAGATAATTTCTAACATTTCAGTGGCTTAATGCAGCAGATTATTTTTTGCTCACATTACAATCCCGTGCGGGTGTGTTTGAATTACAGTTCTCTTCCATATGGTAATTCAGGGACTCTGGCTCCTTCTAGAATGTAGTTTCTCCGTGCCCTGAGTCTTGGAGTCTTTGAGGAGTAAGTACGAAAAGAAAGTGAAAAAGGGACATCTTAACTGCCTTGGCCTGGAAGGAATGCAGATTACTTTCTGCTTTCAGTTGCTGAGAACTGGTCACACGCCCCCTAGATGCAGGAGGGCTGGTAAATGTGGTTCCTGCAGGACAGCAGCTTTCCAGGAAGCACTCCATACATGGAGGGGGCGTAGGGATCGAGGTGGACGGTTAGCTAACTCTGCCACGGATATTTAACAAAGTAAGTCACTTGCGTACCGTGTGGGAATAAATAACTTGTGTTGCAGGATAGAACATTCTGAAGTATTACATTGTCAAATACTGAAGCATGGTTTAAAAAAAAAAAGTACAGAGTAGTTCCCCCCTAATCGGCGGGGGACAAGTTCCAGGACCTCCCAGTGGATGCCTGAAACTACAGATAGTACTGACCCTTAGGCATACTGTTTAAATATCCTGCAATACAAGTTATGTGAATGGGGTCTCTCTCCCTCTCAAAATACCTTATTGTACTGCACTCACCCTTCTTCTTGGGATGAAGTGAGATGATCCAGGGCCTACATGATGGGATGACATGAGGTGCGTGATGTATGCACGCAGTGTTAGGCCACTGCTGGCCTTCTGAGGGTCCTGCAGAAGAAGGATCATCTGCTTCAGGACCGCAGGTGTCCACAGGGAAGTGAAATGGAACAAGGAGGGACTGCGGTAATCATGGAGTTTAAGAGCAGGGAAGGAAGAGTTGGTGTACGAAAGGAGGAACAGGATGTCACTTGGAAGGGTTAGTGAGTCTAGTAGAGGGGTTCCAAATAACAAGGATTGTGGATGAAAAAAAGATGTTTGTATTTTCATTCGTCCGCTCCTTCATTCATTTAAGAGTGTGCCACTGGCCGTGTGCTCGGTGCTGTTAGGTGGTGGCAGGAGGTGGACTGTATGTATATTGGGGGGGCGTGTTTACTTGTACATGGACAGGAGGATGTTGTGCAGGTATGGAGAGAAGCGATGAAGCATAAGCCAGAACAGTGGGACTTTTTCCCGCCTTTTTGATCTTAAAAAAAAAAAAACCCTGAGAATATTATGGAAAAGAAACTTTCCTAAAAGCTTTTAAAGTGCAGCACTTTATTAGAACAAATTGATCATCTAAATAAGAAAAAATGTCAGATTTTAATAAACAAGATGCTATTTCATGTTCTTTTCAGAATATAATATTTTTCAATCATGGAAAAATGAGTATTTCTCACATTCTTAAGTGTTTGTAGGCTTTGGGCTCATCTTAAATGGAAAAAGTTAATATTGTTCTCATCATGCAGGGGTTTGATTTATAAGGGGACTACCAGAGAGAAAGATCTGTCATAATATTTTATAGCCACACCAGTAGAGTAATGCTAATAACCAACATGTTTACTTACGCCACAGTTTACAAAGCGGTCCTGTATAACTGATCCAACCTGATTATCACCACAACCGTATGAAGTAGGTAAGGGCTAGGTTGATATCATCATTAGTAGTAATAGTAGTTGTATGTAGATGTTCAGATGTAGCGCCATTATCCCCATTTTACAGTCGAGGAAATTGACACTTAAGGATGTAAATGATGTGCCCAGAATCTGTAAATTTAAAATCCCAAAGAGAAAATAAATTTTAAATTCTGATGTTGTGGTGTAATTGTATCTGTGTTCAAGAATAAAAAATCCAATTGAGCTTTCTAAAATTCCATTTACTTTTGTCCGTTATTGTCAGGGTGGGAGGTAGGCAGAAGTTAAGAAAATATGGTTAATATTTCCTAGTGTGATATTTTCCATTCTTTGAATTACGTCTCTTGCCGGACAATTAATTGCCTTTTTCTTTTCTTTTGGTTTTTATAGTAATTGATTTTATGGTACATTAAACGTGAGGGGGAAATGCTGAAAGGGTGGGACTTTTATTCCGGGAGCCAGTTTTTTTACTCTTCGGGAACTTACTTGTTTGTTCTATAAGCAAAAGAACACTAAATCCTAACTCCTTTGTGTTCACATTTATTAGTGAATAATACTGTCGCTTTGTGACTAATGTCCAGCTGTGTCTGTTCTCGCAGGTGGGGTGACTGCTCTCTGTTGGGACCCTGTCCAGCGAGTGTTGTTCTCGGGCAGCTCAGATCACTCTGTCATCATGTGGGACATCGGTGGGAGAAAAGGAACGGCCATCGAGCTCCAAGGACACAAGTAAGGCAGCTGGTGCTTTTATTAACAAACTCGGAGAAAAGATTCTCAGTGGAAAGCTAGAACAGGCATGTGGTCCAGTGTCTATGGCAGGATCTTAACATTGCAGGAACACAAACATTGCAGGAACACAAATAATGGCCACTTTGAATTATATCTGTGCGTAGGTGTGTCTTATTTATACCTCATTTAATTCCACGGAGGATTTGAGAGTGCTTGCAAAAACCGTAAAGTAAAATAATGGCAGCAAAGAAATAAAAAGTAAAAATGAGAACCAGAGAGACTTATGAGTAAAAATTTGAGAATGCGAAAAAAAAAGAGCTTAAAAATATAAGCCATGAAGGCCTATGGAATTTAAATAATTGAGTTCAAATGTGGCAAGATTCCTGGCAGCTTAAGGAAAAGGGGAGAGATAATAAGCTTACACTATATATTTTGTACTTGACCAAATATTTATTGAGGACTCGTCTTGATTCATATCAGGCTCTTCTTCCTTGACAGGCAGATTTCACAGGGCTGAGAGGAAGAGCAAAGAAAGCTTTGTGTTTCCTTGGAGCTGTTCTCAAACTTGCAGTGTGCAAAGAGTCACCAGGGAATTTGTTACAGTGTAGACTGCGGGACCCTGTCTTTGGAGATGCCAGTCACCGTGTGGAGCTGCAGGAGTCTGTCCTGTACCAAGCCTCCCAGGCGACTCTCTTGGCGGCCCTCAGAGCACACTCTGACCTGTCCTCCCCTGTGCTGCCCGCCGGTCCTGGGGGCAAAGCCTGGTCGTGTTCAGAAAAGAACTGTAGATCTGCTTTCGAGCTCTAAAGCTAATCTGTATTGTTTTGAACTTGTCAAGTTTTCACAGAGATGTTAAGAGCAACTGTAGACAGCCACAGCAAACGTTAGTAAGGCTCCCACGAACTGACTGGTTCTAAGCAACATTAGCTCTTTTTGTAAATCTACCCGGTAAATATTCTTCTAAGTAGTTACATCTACAGTTGGATTATTAGATATGAACAGATTCAATTTTGGAGGGCCTCTGCACAAATAATTATCTTAGTGTTAGAATTTAGTCTTTGAGAAGTAGCTGTGAAGCCTTCTTTCCCACATTAGAAAATGGACCCGTTGTCTGGGGCCTTGTCTGGCTTGTGGGGCCACTCGGACCTTGTCCTCAGCTCATTAGAGGAATCGTTCCCTTGTATTTATCTCCGTGACAAGGGGACATGCATCAGTATTGTATAAAAGGAGTTGACATCATCCATGTAAATGAAGAAAAAGAGAAGCCAAACACAGTCCTGTTTAATAATACTCAGTTATTCTCCAATATGCCAAGTAATTCCTGCCACCTCAGGTCTTTCAGAGAAATAAAAGGCCAGTTTTGAATGAATATCAGTAATATTTGTTGGGCTCATTCAGGTTAGCTCATAACTAGTTGTATTTTTGCACAGTGGTGAATAAAGCCTGCAGGCAGTCTTGCATGACCCATCCACAGGGTAGTAAAGTATAACGGTGCTCAACACCAGCAGCACTGCATGCTGAGTGCCCTCCTGCAAACTGTTGACCTGGGAAACGTGCACTTCTCGTTTGGTAAGAAAGGAAAAGCTGTAAAATTGAGATAGAGTCTCTCAGTCCCAGAAAAATGGAACCTGAGCTAATAGGTCTTCCGGGTTCTAAGGAATACAGACCCGGCCTTCTCGAAAATGAAAGAAACCATACTTGGGAGCCCATCCCAAGAATCCACACCCTTAGAACCTAGTGGGATGGCAGGCTGGTGAGATCAGGAGCCACCGGTCGGCGCTGGCTTTAAACAGGAATAATGGCAGAAGGCCTTTGCCTGGTGCTTTATTTAGCTCAAGCTGAGGAATAAAGGGAACTCTATGAGGGGCTCCTCGTCACCGGGCCTTAGCCTGAGAGGGGCTGCCTGGTGTCACACGTCTGGGGGAAATGAACTTCCTCAGCATCAGTTGGTGTCACCCTGTTAGAGTGGGTTTGAGTGCCTGAGGTGGAGACGGGGAGGACACTGGAGCTGCGGAAAGGAGGAAGATGGGACTCAAAAAGGGGGCGCAAGGGAGGGGCCAGGCCAGCGGGCAGGAGGGAGAGCACGTTCACAGCCACCATTCCTTTGCCCTGGAAATTGGCCACGGGATTGGTGTTCAACGATTGTATTTCGTCAGAGGGCAGACACACAGACGCCACAGTGCCATCTTGCAAGAACTCTGTGCATGTAGGAGGGAAGCCAGATTTCATCTTTGAGATGAGACTATCGAGTCCTCAGAGCCCCCAGCTGGTAGCCTAGTTCTGCCAAACCTTAGCTCAGTCCAACAGAGAAAGCTCCTTAGAGCCGCCGTTGTGTCTTGCACTGTGCTAGGTCCTGGGGGTACTGAAGCGAACATTGACTAACAGATGGTCCCCTCAGTGCTCCGTGATCTCTTTTGTCTTTCTACTTTAGAGGCCAAAGGGTTTCTTCTTGGGGCCTGTGGCTGTCCCTTGCTATCCCACAATTCCTCATTTTCCCGCCTTCCCCCCAGGGTGACAACAGGTGGTTAGAGTTCCAAATCGGGCACCGAAGTGGTGAGCTTGGGAACAGGGCAGAGCCTACCAGACCAAAGATGCCCAGAGGGGTGGGGAGACTGCCTTCCCCTCTGGTGGGAATATCCAAGCATGATGTAGAGGGACAGCTCCCAGGTCTTCTGTCCTAGGTTCTGTGGCTTCATTTCATCCTTCAGCAGCAGAAATATGACAGTTTTGCAAGTAATTTGATTTGGTATATAAAAATCCCATCAAAGCAGAGAGAGTTTGAGCACTAGAGTAACTAAAATGTCTCCAAGTCCAAGGAGAAAAAAGCTAAGAAAGTATACTTCTATACAATATTATCTGCATTTGACACATTTTAGTGTTTTTATTCCCTGCAGCAAGTGGAACATGATTATGTGCTAGCTCTGTGAAAGGAAAGGCAAAGAAAAGGTTCTAGTTTTAGGGACCAGTTATGTTTCTGAAGTACCCATTACCAGTTGGATGGATATTATGGAAGCATAAACCTAGACATTTATTGTCCCATGCCCATGTCAAATCTAATAATGATACTCAGGCTTTTTAGATCCTTTTTTATTCTTAGATAATACCTATCATTTCATGACCAACTTTATGACCATACTTCTCCTTTCTAACAGTATTTTTCTTAGGCTTCTAAGACTTTGTGGCAATTTAATTTAATGGTAACTTGATTTAAAGCACAGGTAAAGATCTGAGCGGTTTCTTGAGATGGAACCTTCCACCAATACTGGGATTCCATAGGTGACATGGGATGTGGTCACTGCCCGGGCTGTTGGCCCACAGGGCCTCTGTATTTTTCACAGTCCCAGCTCTTGGTTTTTCTCTTCCGACTCTTGGCATGTGTAAGACTTTTGTTACAAGCATCTTCGAAGCCTTTTGGTAAAGAAAGGGGCTATTTGTAAATAAATATCCATCGGGAGAATTTGGACCTTTCCCTCTTTATCAGGTAAATTGCGTGTAAAGTTAGGAAAGGAAGTAGAATTCTCACATTCATACTCTCCTGGGTTTGGGAAAGGAGAGCAAGGGTCAAGGAGAGCAAGCTTTTTCTCTTCGCAAATCTCATATATAGGAGCATTTCTCATTGTAGCGCTAGAGAATTATTAGGATCCAGGGGAAGAGATGTCTTTTCCATTTCTAATTGAGCTAAATGCATAATAGATCAAAGAATTAGCAATGAGGGTTTTCATAGAGGGAAGAACCTTATCAAGGGGGAGGTGCCATACTGCATGGTCATTAATCGCTAGCCTCTGAGCCAGGCCAGGCTGTGTTTGAGCCAGCCCTTCTGCTAATGGCCATGTAGGCCTTGACAGGACTCTTCATCTCTCTGATCCTCAGTTTTCTTATCTCTAAAGTAAGGATAATATTGGCAGGAGAAACCCTCAAAGATTGTCAAAAACCATAAATGATAGAATGCATGTAAAATAATCAGAAGAAGGACACCTGGGTGCCTCAATCAGTTAAGCGTCTGCCTTCAGCTCAGGTCGTGATCCTTGGGTCCTGGGATCGAGCCCCACATCGGGCTCCCTGCTCAGTAGGGATTCTGCTTCTCCTCCCTCTGACCCTCCTCCCCACTTGTGCACTCTCTCTCTCTGTCTCAAGTAAATAAAATCTTTTAAAAAAAATCAGCACAAGGGTAAGGGCTAGTAAGTGCCGGTTGTTGAAATTATTCTTGATAACAGAAATTACAGTAATTTGAAAATCAAGCTTTTGGATAGGAGTCGTATTTCTCTCTGAATATAGCATTTTCAATGGAAATATTGCCCCGTGTACTTACTCCCTCTATAATACATTCAGCAGCTGTTTACTGAGTTCCATCTATATACCAGACTTTGTAGTAGGCACTCTGGATACAAAGGGGACTGTGAAAACAGTCACGGACTAAATGGAACAGGCTGGATGCAGGAGAATGGGGTAAAGATGGGACAGTGTGCCAGTTTGACAAAAAAATGGGAGGCTTCTGTGGAGGGAGTCACTCTTGATTTGGGTCTTAGGAGATGAATAGGTTCTCATAGTTCTCAGGATCAGGAGGTTACCCCAAACAGAGCTGCATGAACTCAGTACAGTGTTTTCAGGAAATGGCAAGGGGACAGAAGGGCAGTGGCTAATCTGAACTTCCACCGTAGCCAGTAAAACAACCAAATGTTGCTGATCTCGAATGAGTGCTCCTAGGCAGGACCCCTGAGGAGGGAAATCCTTCCAGGGTCCCTTTGGTGTGAGATGACCCCAGGTATCAGTTATCCGGGAGACCTCACGTGTGTGGATTACTCATGAGCCTTTTCTGGTCCTTGGAAGTTTGGGAGGCTTATGAATATGGGAGTTCTGAATCTAAGAGTGCGAGTGCTCTGGTAGCAGATGCTTAACTGATTAGATTTTCCCCAAGTCACCTAGGGCTTTTCATCAAAAAGATGAAAGCTGCTATACATTTAAGCTCCCCCCTACTCTTTAGGAGGCGGAAGAGGGCCTAA